CATATTTATCATTAAATACCATTAATGAATTTGTTGAATCAGTGGATAGGATGTCGGATGATTGATAAGAGTCGTCAAAGTCTTCGAAACGAGTAGTTAAAAGAGATGTGTCACTTTTTCCGATAATAAAATGATGAAATAGTGCTCGACGAAATGACTCATCGTAAACAGCATCGATGAGTAGAACATTTTCACAATTCAACCGAGCAATCTCGGTAATACAAGCATTTTCAGGCAAATCGTTCGGCTTCGATGGTAAGAAACCCAGTGGTAAAAAATATGATTCGCTCCCATCTCCATAGTGGACATCGACAATTAGTAATTGATATGTGTGTACCGACCATTCGAGTACGTGACGAACAGTGACACTATGAGGAGTTCGTACTTTGCCGGCAAACCAGCGACTTCTATTAGCAAATGGAAGAAAGTGATGTCGGGCGAAATCATTCCAGAATTCGTTGTTAAAGCGTACATTCAAGGACTCTGCCATATGAATGAATAATTTGAATGAAATGTTTTTAATTATTAATGTAAATACGTTCTATTCTATTGCTTTCACGCTATGAAAGGTATCAAATGAAAATGGTAAATAGCGTGAAATAAGAGAAAATGACATACCAATATCATTTGTTGTCACGTGGCCATTTTCTTTTTCTCTTACTTCGCTATTTAAAAGAGATACCTAACAAAACATACGTTGTATACACAGATGAATCAGTGAGGATTTTCCTTTGACATACTATTACCAGTGAAAATGGATTATAAAAAGTCAGATTAAGATTGAAGAATTGCAAAGCGGTATACATGAGAGAACCAGTCTGGGAACCATATCCATCTCTGAATGATGAATAATTGATCGCCAAAGTTAGATTGCCCCCTGCTATATCAGCGGTTAATATAATTCGATTGGTATTGATTAGATTGTTGGTGACTTTTCAAAACAGGTGATAAGTGACCGACGAACAATATACTAGTGTACTGGGAAAAAAAATGTTTCGGTGTTCGACGCTAAGGATTGTCTAAATGAGCCGTCTTTTTTGCTGAACGATCGATTCTCGCAGACTCTTCTGATGACATTATATTGCGTTAATCATTCGTCGATCAATAAATATTCGCTTCAGTCAAAAGTCTTGTAGACCTTCTGACCTTAGTCGCATTCACATTTCTTCTAGCAAATCTGATCGAAATCAACAAGGATCTTCGTTGATCAATCAAATTTCTTCATGAACTATTTCAATCGTTTTTGTTCTATCTGACGTGATTTCAGTTGTAGTCTGTTGCTCAGGTTGAACAAATCAACTAGTCAGAATGGACAACTTCGCCGTGGCTTTTTCCATTGGTGAGAGAAACTCGCATTTTTTTCTCGAATGAGAAAAACTCTTCTAACAAGAATAGATCGATTTCCTCGATTGCCATGGCGAGTGCTCTTGTCAAATTGGCCGAAGCATAGATCGCTTGATCGTACGTCTCTCGATATCCCAAGAGACATCAATCATCATGAAAATAGGATTTTGCGGTGATTCTGTTGATATCAATCAGTTCTTCAGATTCATACATTCGAATATTTACTTTTACGATTCGTTGGTCATAGATCGTCTAAAAAGTATCGCCATCGAAGAGAGAACGGTACAAATGAACTGAATATCTTCAGACGATGGAACGTAACATGCATTTGAAATCAACTGATTGAAAAATAAAAATAAAAAGCTCGGAGAACTTAGACACGAATGGATTAGAATTGGCTCCCTACTCTATCCTACCAGACAAACGTTTTCATTGATCTTGATGGTATGTGATTGTGTGTGTATGTGTGAGTATGGATGTGTTAGTGTGG